AAAATTAATATTTAAGATTTTATTAAAAAATTAGAGTTTAAAAAAATGAATGCAAGCAAATTTGCCTGTATTACAATTTAAGGGATAAATCAATGCAAATTTTTTAAATTTAAAAAATTTTAGACTTTCTCTGTATTTTATAACTATTCTTACCAAACTAAATTATCTAATAAATATTTTTTTTAATATCTACTTTCATATTTAATCTAATATTATTCTATATATAATTTTAATAGCTTCTCAAAATATATATATTATTATAATCAAAATAATATACCAACTTCACAATATACAGTATATGTATTTAATGGCAAATACCATCTTAAAGTATAACCAAATACTTGTTAAGTATTTACTAAGTACTTATTAAATACTTAGAAATTTTCTTAAATTACACTATGTGTATATACACATAAGTTATACAATATAAAATTATATTACACAGATTGATATATAAATATAAGTATTTTTTGTTTATATAGTTTTTTTGTTCTTTTTATTTTACTATGCTACTAATTAATTTTTTTAGTATTAGTTATTAATATTGTCATTGGTATCATCGTTGGTGTCATCGTAGATGTCATCATTGTATATATCATTTTGAAGTTTTGGTCATTTTACTAGTAGTTTCGTTCTTGCTAGTTTGTGCTTTTGCTTTTGCTAATATTGTTATTTTATTGGTAGTTTCACTCTTGCTGGTCTGTATTGTTACTTTGTACTTTTGCTTTTTACTAATGCCTGCTGATTTTCGCTCTTGCTTGTCTGTACTATTGTTTGGTGCTATGCCTTGTGGCATTTGCTAATTTTTAACTTGCTAATTTGTCTTTGCTTTTGTAGTATTTATTGACTTTTACTCTTCTTGCTGCTTGGTGCTTTTGATTAGTTTTTTTGCTAGTCTGTGCTATCAGTCAGAGTGTTTGCGTATTTTTGCTTTTACTGGTCTACTTTTGCTTTTATTACTAAATTTATTCTTGCTTGTTTGTACTACTGCTTGATTTTCTTGCTTGTTTTCGCTAATTTTGCTCTTACTGGTATGTGTTATTGCTTGATACTTTTGCTTTTGATAATGTTTGATAATTCTGCTTTTACTAGTTTGTCTTTGCTTTGCTAATATTAGTTTTTTTTTAGTATTAATATTCCTTTTGTCTTGCTATTCTTATTATACATATACTAACACTCTTTTTTATTTTCAGTAATGTTGTGTAGTTTTTTATGTTGGTGCGCTATTATTGATGTGGGTCTTATAAATAGTATGATTTCATGACTACATTTTTGGCTGTGATACAAAAGTATTTAATTTAAGTAGAATTAGACTTAGCAGTTAGGGTTAGATAATTAATATTAGGGTTGGTTGTTTTAAATAGCTGAAATTTTATTATAAAATAGTGCTATAATGCCTGAAATTTTATTGCGCAATAGTGCTTTAGAATAATATTTGTAATATTGCTATAATGCAGTATTATGTACTTTCATATAACCACCAAAAAAAATGTTTAAATTCGTTTACTTTAGGGTTAGCATTTAACTTAATGTTTAAGAAAGAAGGTAGTATAGTAAAATTATGCAAGAATTTTTTTTGTTAGTATATGAAAAGTAGTTTCTTATATGAATTATACGATTTTTGACAAAATTTACGTTTATTTTAGATCTTTGCAATATTATTACATTACATAATTATGGGGATAACTACATGACAAAGCAGTACGTGATTTAATCTCTAATTCTGCTATATTCTAACCAGTGATAGAAATTGGAGTGAAAAAAGGGACCTATCTCAGTGTTCACCAAAAAAAAAATTTGAATCAATCTAATAATCAGCGTTGGATCCTTACTACTGAGGGACATATAGTGTTAAGAAAAAATTCTAAATTCGTGATGAGGTTCTCTTTAAAGAAATAGCTATGAAAGATGAATAATATCTTACTCTCACCAATACTAAATCGAAGAACTTTAAAGACGGATCCGCACAGTAGATGCAGCATATTTAATGCTCTCTGTATATATAAAGCACGTTTGTACCAATAAAAATTTTTTAAATTTATAATACTGATTCTAACACTAACCTTAACTATAATGCTAGTTATGCTTTGTCATTAAGGTTAGTACTGGTTATTAGCTATGTTGATAAGGTTGTATTGATAGTTATCCTCTTAATTATTAGCTAATCTTATATAGATCATCATGTGAAAGTTACACCGAAATATAATCATGTGACTATATATATAAACACATAGTGTATAAATAGAAATCATCAAATACTTATTATAATTATTTATTAAACTAATTTTAATATATTTTATATCTAGTGAATATTTAAAACTAAGTACTTAGCAAGTAATAATATAATTATAATAAATATTTAATAAATATTTATAATAAATATTTAATAAATATTTATAATAAATGACATCTAGTATAGAACTTAGTAATAAGCGGACTACTTAAATAGGCAACCAAAAGTTGTATGTGTGACTAGTATG